CAAACAAACTTGAAAACCTTAAGGAAATGGAGGACTTTCTGTTATCACACAACCTGCCTAGGTTGAAACAAGAAGAAATTGAGACCCTAAATAGATGAATAACAATCAAAGAAATTGACTACGAATAAAAAAACTACCTACAAAAAAAAAATCTCTGAACCAGATGGCTTTCCAGCAGAATTCTACAAGATATTTAAAGAGGAGCTGATACCAATCCTACTGAAGGTATTCCAGGCAATTGAGAAAGATGGAATTCTCCCCAAATCATTTTACGAAGCTAACATCACATTGATACCCAAGCCAGGTAAAGACCCAACAAAGAAAGAGAACTACAGGTCAATATCTTTGATGAACATAGATGCTAAAATTCTCAACAAGATCCTAGTAAACCAGATTCAACAACACATCTCAAAAATCATCCATCATTACCAAGTGGACTTCATCCCTGGGATGCAAGGCTAGTTCAGCATTCGTAAAACCATAAATGTAATTAAATACATCAACAGATGTCGAAACAAAAGTCACATCATTATATCATTAGATGCAGAAAAAGCTTTTGATAAAATCCAGCACCCATTCTTGATAAAAGCTCTCGAACATCTAGACATATGGGGAAAATACCTCAAAATAGTAAAAGCCATCTACGAGAAACCCACAGCCAGCATACTCCTAAATGTACAAAAATTGGAACCATTTCCCCTGAAAACTGGAACAAGACATGGATGCCCACTCTCACCCCTCCTGTTCAATATAGTATTGGTAATCCTGGCTAGAGCAATCAGAGAAGAGAAGGCAATCAGAGGTAGCCAAATAGGAAAAGAAGTCAAGTTATCTCTCTTTGCAGATGACATGATTGTGTACCTTGAAAACCCAAGAGAATCTATCAAAAACCTCCTTGCACTGATAAAGGGCTTTGGCAAAGTCTCAGGCTATAAAATAAATGTGCAAAAGATAATTGCATTTCCTTACACCAATAATAAACAAACAGGAAACCCAAATAAAAAGCACAATCCCATTCACAATAGCCACAAAAAAATGAAATAACTTGGCTTCTTCCTAACCAGAAACGTGAAAGACCTTTACAATGAAAACTACAAAACTCTGCTCAAAGAAATCAAAGATGACACAAAGAAGTGGAAAAATATCCTATGCTCATGGATTGGAAGAATCAACATTGTGAAGATGTCCATCCTAGTTAAGGCAATCTACAGATTTAATGCGATACCTATCAAATTACCAGCAACATTCTTCTCAGACCTAGAAAAAACAGCACAGGAATTCATATGGAAACACAAACGACCAAGAATAGCCAGAACAATCCTCAGCATAAAAAACAAAGCAGGTGGTATCACATTACCAGACTTCAAACCTTACTTACTATAAAGCTACAATAATCAAAACAGCTTGGTATTGGTACAGGAACAGGCATATAGCTCAATGGAATAGAATTGAGATTCCAGAGATTCAACCAACTCATCTTCGACAAAGCCTCCACCACCTACCACTGGGGAGAGGAGAACCTATTCAGTAAATGGTGCTGGGAAAACTGGCTGACCACATGCAGAAGATTGAAACAGGGACCCCTATCCCCATACACAAAAATTAACTCTAAATGCATCGGAGACCTAAATGTAAAACCTTAAACCATAAGAACCTTAGAAAATGAAGGAGATACCCTCATGGAATTTGGAACTGACATCCAATTCCTGAACAAAATCCAAAACCCACAGGCCATAAAAGATAAGATAGACAAGTGGGACCTCATTAAACTGACAAGCTTCTGCAAAGCCAAAGAAACCATCAAGAGAGCAGGGAGACAGCCTACAGACTGGGAAAAAGTATTTGCCAACTCCAGGTCCGACAAAGGCTTAACATCTTGGATCTACAAGGAACTCAAATGTACTGAAAAGAAAAAAAAACCCCATTATAAAATGGGCAAAAGATATGAACAGACACTT